AAATTGCGAAACAAATATGGCTAAATGAAAAAAATTATTTTTTATTAGATAAAAATTGAGAGAAAGAGGACAAAGTTTTTTTTTTCTATTATATGTATCGAGAAGCAAGTGAAGTAGACATTTATACGATCAGACGCCTGATTCTGAATACTTTACAGTGGAAAAAAATTCGTTATGATCAGACACAAGTGCTTTCTATGCTTCTCATATTCTGCAGAGTGAACGTTTAGTTAACATTTTTTTTTTTTTTTTTTTTTCTTTAAATTATACAGAACGTAAAATTAGAATTTAATTATAAAAGCAGATTTTAAATTATAAAATTTAATTATCTATTTTATAATTAATAATTAAATGCAATGGTAAAAAAAATAAAAATATTAAAAATTATTAATTAATAATAAATTAATAATATAAAAAATTAAAATTTAACTACTTATTTAAATTTAATTTATAAATTTTAATTTAATTAGTAATAATAAATATATTTATTTTATTTCACATAAACTATTTTCATTCAATTAATTTAAAGTTGAATAAATTCTGTTCCTACTTACGTAGTATGTAAGTTTCAATGCAGGGGAAAAAGTTTTTTATTTTAATAAAAAAAAAAAAATGAATATCAACTATTTCACTGTTTTAATAATTGGATATTATCTGTAAAATTAAATTTCTCAGTCATTTTAATTAGTCTGATGAATGAAATTATTGAAATATTTTAATTAAACCAAATCTATATTATGAAACAAGGAATAAAAAAGAAAATTTTTTGCACAAAGTATAAACGAAGTTAAATACAATCATAGTCAGACTTTTATGAAAATTCATAATCCATTTTATTCTCTGCCTACTACTACTACTACTACTACTACTACTATATATATATATATATGTGTGTATATTAAAAAAGCGATAAATTAAAAATTATCCGTTCTCAATTCAGTAAAGAAATTTTTATCTCTCTTATATTATACATAAATAATATTGAGGAAAATTATTTATCTCTTTAAAAATAATGAGGATTTTATTTTAATAATAAAATTCATCTTCAAATACAATAAAACTTTACTGAATTTTTTTTTTTTTTTTTTTTTGTCATTTTACAATTTTTTCCATAGGATTAATTTTTTTATTTTTCATTCTAAAATAAACAAAATAAATCCTACGAACAAAATTGTTTAAAAAAATAAATAAATAAAAATTATTTAATTTTTTATAAAATAGCATTTTCCTTCTAGGGAGAAAAATGATCATTTTTAACCCTAGATAGTAAAATATCAATTTCCAGTCCTAAGAAATAAAGAAGTCATTTTTTTGACCCTAATGAATAAAATAAATTTTTTAATTTATTAGAATTAGCAAAAAAAAAAAAAATAATCATATAATTTTTTTTGAATTTAAGTAACAGATTTTTTTTTCTTACATATGAATTTCACGCGTAAAAATGACAATAAGTATTCCAAACCAAAAAAAAGAAACTGTAGTTGAAATCACGTCTGGAATACAAAATCACAAGGCCTTTCTTTTTTTCTTCTCTCTCTCTCTCTCTGACCAAGGAAATGGTTGGAAACAAACTTCTCGATTTTTACGTTTACTTCGAAAGAATCACGTACAGTCGTTTTTCAGAATTCGACAGACTTTTCACGGCTTACCGGCTCCACGAAAAACGATATCAAATGGCCCGTCTCGAGTTTTCTGCACTTTTCACTTTGCACTACTTTAGGTCGTTTAGTTCCCATCAGCGTAAGCTTACAAAACGATTAAAGAAAATCGACTCTTTTTTTTCCTTTTTGCTTAATATTTAATTATTTTTTTTTTTTTAATAATTTTTATTTTCAAAATTAATAAGAGTAAAAAAAGAGAAAAAAATTTTTTTTTTGATAATATTTAACTAGTTTGGATCAATGTAAACATGTTTGAACTAGTTTAAACATATTTTTATTAAGGTAAAATGTGTTTTTAATTAATTAAAATTTGTTTTGGAATTTTTTAAACAAGTTACAATCAATTTAAACTTGTTTGAATCATGTCAAACCAGTTTGGATCAATAGAAACATGTTTGGGCTGGTTCAAAAATGTTTTTTAGAAGGTAAAATATGCTTCAGATTCATTGTAACTTGTTTTAATTTGTTTTAAACTAGTTTAAATCACTTTAAACTTGTTTAGATAATTTAAAATTAGTTTAGATAAATTTAAACTAGTTTGGATCAACGTAAATATATTTGGACTAGTTCAAACATGTTTTTTATAAGCTCATATCTGTTTTAAATCGGTTAAAACTTATTTTGCATCATTTTGAACAAGTTAAAACCAATTCAAACTCATTTGGACAATGTCAAACATGTTTCAATCAATATAAACATGTTTGGGCTAGTTCAAACATGTTTTTAATCATGTGAAACCTGTTTCAAATCCATTATAATTTATTTTGGCTTGTTTTAAACAAATTTAAATCACTTTAAACCTGCTTGAACTAGTTTGAACATCTTTTTGATAAGGTGAAACATGTTATAGAATAATTTAAATTTTATTTGGATCATTTAAAATAAGTTAAAATCAATTCAATCTTGTTTGCATAATGTCAAACAAGTTTAAATCAATAAAAACATGTTTGGGCTAGTTCAAACATTTTTTTGTAATAAAGTCAAATCTATTTCAGATCAATTATAACTTGTTTTGTATTGTTTTAAATTAGTTGAAAGCAATTTAAACTTGTTTGGACCATTTGAAACTAGTTTAGACAAATTTAAACTAGTTCGTATCAATGTAAACATGTTTGGACTAGTTCAAACACGTTTTTGGTAGTGCCAAACATGTTTTAGATTAATTAAATTTGTTTTGAATAATTTGAAAATAACTTTTAGTCGATTCAAACTAGTTTTAGTTACATTCGAACATGTTTTTTTAATTTGAACTTGTTTACAACCAATTTGAACTAGTTTTAGATTAATTTTAATTATTAATTTGGACAAAAAAATGTTATACTGCATCATAATAATACGTTTTATTTTTTAGTTTTACTTTTTTGATAACAAAAATATTTTAAACTTCACGCTTGGCAGTTTAATGAATTCATCCTTTTTTTTTCTTTCTTGCTTTATTTAAATAAACGCATTTTTCAGAATATTTTTAAAATACACTAAAAATGTCAGTATAAACGTCGTTTATTTTCATTTTTTACAGGATATAAGGTTATTAACAATGAATTCAGTCAAACATGAAAGCCTTTGTTCCTCATGGAAAATTATTTTCATTTTACCCCGAACAATATAAAACACAACCGCGCGTGCCAGGCAGTTATGGCAAACAGACATTCATAAAAATCGGAAATTACTTCAAGTCTTTTTAATCCGCGATTTTCTCTTATGTTGAGAGAGAGAGAAAAAAAATAAGGAAATATTTTGCTTTGTAGAAATAATTTTGTTTTTTAATTTTTCAAATTCATTATTAATTCAACAAAAATTTTTTTTCGTATTTAGAACAAAAAAACGAGAATTATTAAAATTAGAAATTTATTGGAAAATTTATTTGCAGTATATATATATATATATATATATATATATATTTTTTTTTTAATCAATATTGTGTATCAAATATATATTTATATAAACGATATTTATTTGGAAAACTATTTTAGAATTGACCTGTATAACTAAAATTACTATTTCCACCCATCAAAATGCCTCGTTTACATTGTTATTGAATAATCTGTCAATATTACAATTCTGGATTTAACTTTTATCAATAATAAAAATAAGCTGGAAAAATAAGGAAGAAAATAATTTCAAAAACTTTTAGAAAAGATAAACTTCAAAAAAATAGAGAGGAGGAAAAATATTGCAAAACTTTTTATATAAATATTTTATAGCTTTTTAAAATAGTTTTTAAATACTTTTTTTTTCTTCTTTAATCCAAATATTTAGAATGTTAATATTTTGCACAATTTTTTAACTTTCTATTGGTACACCAGTTTTTATTTATTTTTATCTACAAAACTTGATTTTATATACCCAAAGAATTAAAAAAAAAATTCAGTATAGAATTTTTTAAATTAAAAAAAAAAATTCCTAACCTGTTTTATTTAATTATTGTTCAAATAAAAAAATGATTGTTTTACAAAATTAAATTTTTTATTTATTATTTTTTTATATTTTATTCATTATTTAATTACTTAATTATACATACTTGGAATTTTTGAAAATAATTTATAAAATTGCCAATTGTATTTGGTTATAATTTGCACTATTCTCTAAGTGAATATAAATGTAAACCGTTCGATGTCAAGCTGGGTTCGTAACTGAATTTGGGCCAGTGCGTGGCTTTTAGTGAGAGTGGGGGCAATGTGTGTGAGTGAGAAATTTTTTTTGGTCTCTCTCACACTCATAGCGCAGTTAGTAGCGAGAGGCGGAGCCTAGAGTCGGAGTGGGGAGATGTGAGAGTAAAGGAAACTCACCATCACCACTTTCTTTCTCTTTCACTCTCATTACTCCCACTCTGACTCTGGATTTTGTTTTCGCTCTATGCGCTATCAGCTTTATAAATTGAATAAATAGAAAATTTTCCAGTCAATTTGATTGTAAATTAATTAACTGTTTTTTAAGGCACGATAATTTATAATAAATATATTTAAAAATAAATATATATAAATATAAAAAAATATATAAATGTAAATATAAAAATAAATAAAAATATATAAATATAAAAAAATATAAAAATGTAAATATAAAAATAAATATAAAAAAAAAATGTATAAATATAAAAATAAATATAAATATATGAAAATAAATACATAAATATAAAAAAAAATATGTAAATATAAATATTTAAAAGTAATTTAAACTTACAAATTTTTAAAAAAGTATAAAAATTACATAACAATAAATAAAAATAAAAAAAAAATAAATAAATACATTTACAAAAAACATTAAATTTAAAAAAATATATTATTAAACATTTTTTTTCTATTTACTACTCAAATGAAACATAAATCTGATAAATTTTACCTTGGCAATATGGTATGAGCTTGCACAAGGCAATTCCAAAAACGAAGTTCTTGAGCATGTGGCCGAGAAGCGTGAATGGAATGCAAAAGACTCCAAGTAGTAGGTCCGACACTGCCTGAAACATAGTTACATGAAAATCACCTTGAATTCTCTTTTCAATTTTTTTTTTTTTTGAAACCAACTTTATCTTTCTTTTCTTATCATCGATGAGCCACATCCTGGGAATATCAAATATTCCATAAGTGTGAATATATAGTATATCACAAACAAATAAAAAAAAATCTTAAATTACAGGATACGGAAAAAGGAGGTCGAACGTTTTTCATTTACGAATTCATTCCATATATTTCAGATATTTTCTTGAAATTGCAAACCCTAAACAATGTTTCCATTTCTCTCACTTTTTCTCTCTTCCATTTCATATAATTCAAAACTTAAAATCGTCCAAAAATTGCATTAATTGCGCGACAATTAAAAAAAAAAAAAATTTGTCAATTCTTTCTCAGTGGCAAAAGAATTTAATTTTCTTTTTCAAAAAAAAAAAATCCAATTACATGTCTTTCATTACAGCTTTGCAACATTTTTTCATTTGATTTTACATTGTTTTGTAAATATTAAAAAAAAAATTTAATTTTCCTTTCGTTATAAAAATAATAATGAAAACTAATAATAATAAAAAATAAAAATTTCAATAACGGTACTAATAAAAATAATATGGTAAAAAGTTTCTTGTTTTAGTTATAACATTTATTGTGAATTTAAAAGTAAGAAAAAAAAATATTCTCGACAAAGTGCATAAAAAGGGTAGTAAAATAAAATTCCCTCATGAGTTTCGCAAAACAAAAAATCTCTTTTTAATACTTGCAGTTTCTGAAATAAATTGTTTGTCTGACCCCCCCCCCTTTTTTTTCCCTCTACATGAGAATAGAAAAAGAAAATTTTTTTTTTATTTTTTACTGATACCACGAGGGATGCCTGCACGATTTGCAATTCAGGTAATGGGATATGAGAACGTGTTTCATTATTCACACGAGTAATTCAAGCTCGTGAAAATTATTGGCTTTTTTTTGTCATGTTTCAAACCGGTAATTTTCAATTCCTTTCCGCAATCGAATATCATTTCAAAATGCAATTAATTTCTAATAAATATAAATAATATTATATATATATACACATAAATCAATTCGATAGCATAATTAAAATTTTAATCTGCATAAAATGTTTTCATATATGGCAATTTGCATTTTATTGCTTTTAAAATATCAAAGTAACTTTATTGAAATTTTTTTTTCTGTTTTGCCTTTTAAGAAGCAAACAATGTGTGAAAAGGTTCGTTTTATTTAAAAAAAAACATAGCATATTCTTTCATTTTCATTGACTAATTTCAATACATATTGGAAATTAGTTTCTTAATTATTTTTTCATTAAAACAATTTAGTTCAAAAAAAAGTTTCTTTTTCATATCATTTTCCCTTGTATTTTTTATTATAAATTTCTATTTTTTTATTATTATAATTATTATTTTATTTATATTGTAACCCTATTTGCAAATTTTTAATTAAATAGAAATAATTTTTAGGTTACAGTGGCGTTGTTAATAATTGAAAGATTAAATTAATAAAATTATCCGCGGGCGCCAGATCAAATGATCACAAAAAAAATAAAAATAATAATAAATCACAACGACTTGATTTCCTCGGCTACTCAAAAGAAATCGGTAGAGAGGGGAAATACGTGAAAGAAGGCTGCAAGAATTTTTACAAAAAAAAATTAATTTGAATTAATAGAAATAATTTAACAAAGTTATAAAATATAAATTTCACTTTAATTAAACATTTTTTTTATTTATAACATGATTTTTAAAATGGCTGATTATAATAAAAGACGAGCAAAATGAACAATAAGAAAGACGCTTGTACTCACTTGTCACGGAATTTCCAAGATTGATTAATTTCATTTTTAAAAATTAAATCATGACAATCAATAAAAATTTTATCAAAAGATTTTTGGGGAAATGGTCAAAACACATAAATGGGGAATTAATAGTAGACACAAATACAAACTAATATTAATGAGAAATAGGGTCAAACTTACAATTTTCAAATAATAAAGAAAACATTTTTAAATAAGAAAGAAATCACAATTAAAACATGCAAAAATGAATTATAATTATCAATGAAAAGAAAAATTCAGAAAAAGGAAATCATTTACAAGATAAGTTAAAAATAGATAGTAAGAAAATTTTTAATAATATATATATTTTGCCTTTACTGAATTTTTCAAAGAGAAAACAATCTTACCAAAAGAAATTTCACAAATTATAATGGCACAGCGAAAACACAAAACAAATATTTTTTAAAAAATACAACTCTTTTTAAGATGTTGGTTCTTCGGAGGTTGCCGACAAAAGAGGACGATAAATGGTATTTTGTTTTTGATGATATTAATCGGTAACCATGCACCGGCATTCAATTGTCTTCTGCTATTTTTCGTGTGTTGATCCAGGGACGGGTTGTAAGGGTATTTTAGGGCCCTTTTATTATTCCTTAATAATAATATTTTATTATTTTATCCAGATGTTTCAAAATTAAATAGATAATCCAAAAAGTCTCTCCTCCATTATCTTCTAATAGTATTCTGTCAGGACTATGTCATAATAAAACACAACGGGAATGAATCCAAAAATTATACAAAATGTTTGACAGGTTCGTATGACGATTCAAATGGGCCATAGGCATCAGGAGCTTCGCGTTTAGAAAACGGAAGGCTAGTTGAATTTTACCAAGGTTATATAATTTGTAGAAAATAGAAAAGTAGACAAACATCAATTTCGTCATAATATATAATTAATATAAAATATCCTTGGGTCATGGATTTGCGGGAATATGTACTAGGTTTTGATCTTCTGATTAGTCAATGGACTACACAATAAAAAAAAGGCGGCAAATTTTGAAATAATTTCATGAATCTTCAATGGATAATCATTATTTTCCAACAGATAAGAGGCGTCCCAATCATCCTTGGATTAAAATTACAATTTCCCACGATGACTCGTTGAACAGGAATCAGGAATCGGAGTTTATATAAATAAAAATAAATTTATAAAATTAATAAAGGAATCTTAAATTAATTAATTTAAATCAATCTTGGAATATCCGCTGCAATCTCCAAATGTTTAACAAAAAATTTTTTTTTTTATTTATTTTTTTGAAAATTGATTAAGTAAAATTTAATTAATTAATTTTTTTAAAATAAATTAAATTTGTGAATTGTAAAATTTATAAAAAATTTTACAACGTCACAATATCACTTTATATTGTAGATACAAAAATAAAATTGTCCAGACCAAATGTATTCTACACGTGTAATCTCAATTTACATTCTATATTTCGATAGAATTTTATATTTGCAAAATATCTATTTCCGCATATAATAAATATGATAAATAAATGAAAAAGCAGAATTTAATAAATAGAAATGTATTTTCAATTTTTTTTTGCATGGAGAACAAATTGATAAATTATCGAAAAAAAGGGGGGTTAACTTGGAAAGTATTTATCAAATTATTTTAAGAAAAGTTAGATGGGAAAAAAATAATTAAATTAGTTTAAAAAAATATTTAATGTATTTAAATTAGATTTTTTGGTGATAAAGAAAAAAAAGAATGAAAAGATTTCTCCCACTCTAAATGTAAAACCAATAGCGCGCGAATTATTGGAACGTGGGCGTGGCATACTTTCTTCTTTGACCTTGAGTTCTCCCACCCTTGCCGGCGAACCAATAGCGCTCGAATGCGAGCGAGGCTCGACCTTGAATTGTCCCCCACTTATTATTGGGAACCAATAACGAATGACCACTTCAATTTTTTGTCTAGTTTTATTAAATACAGAACCTAAGTTACTAAAAAAATTATTTATACAATTTTCCAAATTATTTACTGCAGTAAAATGAAACAGGAATGAAATTTTTAATATCAATTTAAATTTATGATTTTTTTTTCTTTTTTTAGTAAAAAAAGCTACTTTACTTCATTGATTGCTAATCATAAATTTAATTGAATTTCCCACCCACCCCTTTTCTCTTCCTCAATATGTAATCGTATTGACCCTATAAAATTAGATTAAATCTTGAATATATAGAGTCCAGTATAATATGTAATGTCCTTTTTCTTCATGGACAAGAATATCATTAGCTTCCACTTTGTGCCGAGCATATTTAAGTCAATGTTGTTCAAATTTTCCATTAGATTTTCCAACTTAATAGAATTTTCCCTCAGCACATTTATTATAATATTCTTTAACAAAAATGGTGGTGAAAAAAAATTCTAATTCTAAATTTTAGAAATATTTTTTTCAAAGTAAATAGAAAAAAATGTTTCTGTTGAAATGGAAAAAAAAATTTCACGTCTGTCGAGGATTTATTGTTAGGGATTAATCTGGGGAAAAAAAATATTTTTCTTTTTTTTTTAGTGATGAAGAGCAATCAAGGATATGTGTATAGTGTCATTGACAAAAAAAAAAAAAAAAACAAGGCAACGCACAAACGACAAAATAAAAATAATTGTCAATTGTCTCCAAGTGATTTCTTTCAAATGAATATAACTTTTCTATATTCTCTGGACAATCATCAAAATTCATTTGGCAAATAAAGTGAAACCCTTTTCTATTTCAATTTCCACTTTTATTATATTGATTGGATTGTCTAGTTATTAAATGCTTTTCGTGAAAAGCAACTCAATGTTATTTCAATTTTCAAAAGAATGATGATATCTGTGTGTGAAATATAAAAAAAAAATTTATATGACGTATCATTTTGATCTCAGCAGAAGATAAATGAATTTATTTGTATAGCTATATTTTTTCTCTCTCCCACGATACACAACATTTTCGCAAGAAATGTCAAACCTAAAACGAATTTGCAATAATGTATCAGAAAAATATGTAATTGCACATTACGTTTGCTTCATTTCATTTCGCCTACACTTGAATTCCATGTTTACTTATAGGGCAAAAATTTTTAAAAAAGTATAAATTTTTATTTATTAATTATTTTATTATTTTTATATTAATTTTTTATGTTTAAATTTTTTTTTTAATTTTAAATGATTTATTTTGG